ATGTGTCAGCCAAAAGGATGTTTCTCACTTCAGTGAGAATAAAAAATACCTTCAGTGGTGTTAATTGGGAGCAGCGGTGCTGACTGATCTGACATAAATGATTTGCTTTACAAGGATACTTGCGTGCTAGTTCACTCATCCATGCACCCACACATCTCCACTATGAAAATAAAACTTTTTAATCCCCTGAAAGCAAGAAAAATATTTAAGATATATACATTTGTGCAGTAACTGTACCTGATGTGAAATGACATACCTCTTACTGACAGTGGCCCACTGTGCTTAGAGAAAACACAGTGCTACAAGTAATTCAAAGATGAAGAAATTCTTTGGTGTAGATCAAGTGGTAGCTGCACCATACCTTAATCAGTTTCAAATGTAGTTGTAAGAAGGGAACAGGCGGACAACAGAGAATGCTTTTCAAGCTGTGGACATTCAACAGCCTATTTTTTTTTTTTAGATTTAAAAATGTAATTATATTAGACCATTGTGTGCCTCTCTTCCCCACTGCAAGAGATTAATTGGTTTCCTACTATCACAGATAAAAGAAGCAAGAAGCATAACAGTACCCCCCCAATACTTACAGATGTTAAAGCTTCTACGTTGGCACCAGTAAGACACAAGAATCGGACAACATCAAGAATGCCATTGTTTGCTGCCAGATGTAAAGGTGTTCTTCCATACTAACATGGGGAAAAAAAGATGTTATTACATTAGTCAAAGAACTTAACTCCAACTTTTATAACTAATAAACAAACATACTGTACATATAATAAATATGTACATACTGATAAAAATAAACATACATACTGATACACAGCAAAGGTCTTGCAAAAACTGTAACAAAAAGTACAAAGCAAAAACAGTAAGAAAAAAGCTTAAGCACACCTGCTTAAAGCTTAATTAAAAACTACTTGGAAAATGGGAAACAATTTTATAGCTAAATCCCTCACAACTGTGGAGGAATCCTTTAAAGTTTTTTGGCTGTATTTGAGAATGTCTTTCTAATTCCCAGTAAATTTAACTGCATTTTGCTTAATTAAATATGAACCAGTTAAGCAACACTAAGTCCTCTGGATTCTGTTTCAATCCAAATATTACTGAAGATTACTCATCTGCAGTCTCCCCTCTTCCACAAAAAGCAATAAAAGGGATGAATGCAGGAAGTCAGCCTGAAGGAATCTGTGCTTTCAGTGACAGAGGGAAAACGCTGTAAGTATTCCTTCACCAATTTTTGCTTTTCCCCCTGAATCACTTCACTGACGACAGGTTCTCGTGACATTCACTTCTGGTCTTTCATGTTTAGAGCCACTGTTAAAAATATCACTACCATATATTCTCTGCTTGTAACTCCTCTTACACATTTTCATGCTTTCAATACTGTTCTCCCCGTTTCAACCCTACAGTCAGACCCAAACTTACAGACTTACTTCATGAAAGAGTATTTGAAAGCAAAGCTAACTTTCTGACAACTGGAAACTGAAAAGATGTCTGGCTTCTAGAAACCCTACACCTCAATTCAAATAAATGCATATGATGTTCTACTGCATGCAGACTGTACAAGAAACAAACGGTATTATGTACATGTGGGACAATGCCAGATGTGAGGACCAAGGATAGACAGTTGTTATGTTAATGTACTCCCACTACACAGGGCTTGCTGCTGGAGAGGACCAGTAGAAGTAAAGATTCTCTATTTGGTAAGACCCAAACTCACCCTTTCAAATAAAAAGCACTCTTAACAACCACTCTAGTATACATGACTCCTAAAAGAATAACAGGACACAAACTTTAACCACAGCTCCTGTAGCCATGATCCCTCCCCCACTGAACACTTGAAGATTGTTTCTTCCATGGCATGCTTGTGGCCAGGCCACCGAACCTAGGTCAGCATTCTCCATTATGAAAAGAGGTGCTAATCCAGCCTTGTGCTGCATTGACTGACCTTCCCCAAAATGTGTTCTTAGCTGTGGATCTGGATTTAATTGCCTAGTCAATCAGGTTTAAGCACAGAGGCAGGACTGGAGAGCTCATTATTGTAAGCTTTTTTCACTTGGCAGCAGATGATTTTCATTATTAAAAGCAAAAGTGATTGCACTGGACAACCCTCAAGCCAAAAGCCCCAAAACTTTATTTAGCTGGCTAATACAGAGAAGGTCAGCACTCTGGTAATAAATGGAAGTGTTAACTAGCAAAATGTTATTGCCAGAATAAGTACTTTTCCAGAAAAACAAGTAAGCTACAACACTCAAATCAAACAAATTACAGATAGCACCATAAAGACTCCTATGAATAAATAGGGCAGAGAAAGACATTCAGAGCTAAATATCAAGCCCTAAGCCCCATAGCCTGTCAGCAGAGTCCAAGGGCTGACCCTCACCTATTCAAAATAACCAGTTTCCTGAAACAGCTTGCTTTTCTCTGAAATATCTCTACAAGGAAAGCCAGAATGCTAAACCTGTAAAGCATCACATTCAGTTATCCCATACACTGCAGCAGTAGCACAACAGAAGAAGCAAGGAAGGCACTAGTACCTCGAAGTTGAGGGACAGGCTATTAGATGTTCTCTTTAGAAAATGCTTTTTAATTCTGAACTGCCTTTTAATTCTGCAATTTCCTGTACCCTGCCAGTGACAATTTGTTTAATAGGTAAGATAAATTAAAGCTACTCTATTCTAAGATAAATGTTTGATTAGGATTTATTTTAATAAATCAACTTGATGCAGAAAAACATAAACTAGCCAATATAACATTTTTATAACAAGGAATAGAACCTGCAGTTGATTTAAATTCCTTAATAGATGACAGTGCAGATCTCTTAATGTAATCTGGAAGAATTCAAAGCCGATTTTTCATAAAAATGTACCACTCTTCAATTCTGTGTATAAATTACTGTTACTAAATCACAGCAAATCAACACCAGCTTAGACCAGCAGCAATGCACTTCATCTGTTCTTCACCGCCTAGATGTAATCTGCACAAAGTAAAGCTATACAGCAAGGGAAGAAGGCTGGCATATACATTCAGCATTACAGTTGAGTGGCAAAATACATGTGATAATTCACTTGGGCTCTTTCTTCATGGATCTTTAATTATCTATTCACCAAAACAAACAGGTACATTTGCAAGATGAGTCATTTAGTGCTTTGCACTTGACCACTTCAAGATATAAAAAAATTAAAGGAAAAACATTTTTCATATCAGAGAACTGGAAAAGGTAATCTAACACAATATGTGAGCTATTAAACTAAGTAATTCAGGACCTGTATTCCATTTACCTTATTGTTGACATCCAGATTACAACTTGCTTCACAGAGCGCCATCACAATAGGCACATTCCCATCTTTGCAGGCCACATGCAAAGGAGTGTTGCCATGTCTGTCTTGGAAATCTACAAAGCAACCTTGACTGATGAGAGTTTTAACTACTTCTATTTGACATCTTCTCACAGCAAGGTGTAGGGCTATATGACCATCCTGAAATCACAAGACAGCTTGTAAGTGAGATTTAATAATGCTAAAAATCAAAGCATTTTGCAGAGTCATGATCATTTCATGTAACTGGGTGCATCTTCTTGCCTCAAGAATCACAATGCTTTTTATTTTTATTTTGAAGGCAGAAGCAGGGAGATGCAGAGCATCTGTCAGCACAAATCAGCTATGGGATGAAAGCAAATGTCTGTTAAGCCACTGGGCTTTGCAGTGGAATGGATGAAATGCAAATACACATTCTCTACTGACGACTTCCGTAGGAGGTGGGATAGTGACCAACTGTAATAACCAGCTGAATATTGTAAACCACTCTAGTGTTTACTGACAGAAGTTAGTGATGCAAAAGTCATGCAATCTGCTTAGTAATCAGTAACTTCAGAGACAGAGCTTTCTCTCTCCGTGGGACAACTTAAAGAGACAATGAGATTGAAAGAAACAAATTATTTCAGAAGCAAAAGCATTTTTCTGAAGTTGCTTTAATAACTGTTTAATAACTATCAGTAATAAATGTAGCTAAAAGGACAAGGATACCAAAAGTATCAGCAATGAAATGCAAAATTTATTTGTTGGGATTATACCACAGAAGACAAAAAATGATTCTGAATCAAATAGAGTTATATTTTTAAATAGATGGAATTCAGCTTATTGGAAATAGGTGTGATTTATCCAACCCATAAGAATCAAAGGCAAATAGTAAAGCCATCTTTTTTCTCTTACTAAGTTAATAGTTAGTTGCCAATTACAGAACCCAATGTTCCTGCCATTTTTCACAGAGTGTTACTCATAAAGTGATAATTGATAAGGTGATAATGAATCAGCAAAAACGCAATCATGTAAAAAACAATTAGTGGGCAACTTTAAAAGACTACTGCAGTCATCAACAGTCTCCATGTGAACTGCTCAGAAAACCCATGTCATGGAAACCACACTGGCTTGCAGCATTCAAATGAAGCAATTCAGAACTATGGCTCTGTGACACCTGTGATCTCTGAACCAAAAGCATCTCAAACTAACCTTGTCTGTTGCATCAAGATCAGCCCCATGTTCTGTCAAGCATTCCACGATATCATGGTAACCCCGAGCAGATGCTGTCAGGAGCGGAGTCTCCCCTTCTTTGTTTTTAATGTTCACGTTACAACCTGCTTCGCAGAGCGCTTTGGCAACAGAGTAGTAGCCGTGCCAAGCAGCACAGTGCAGTGGGGTTTCTTCTTCCTATCAACATGGGAAAAAACCAACCAAAACCAACATGGCTGAACCAAACACAAGGAGGAAAAATTCCCCAGCTTAACTCAGAAAGTCAGGAAGATGACACAAAAGAAAAAAAGACAGTCAACTAAGTAAGCTTTATAAAAAGATGTTGTAATCTCTAATGCCGACATTCTCAAAGCAAGAATAACTCCTGCTGACATACTAAGTGATTACAGGTAATGCACTAGATTTTCATCATTACTTGGATTTTAAGAGTCTGTATTTCTCACCATAAAACAATCTACTGACAACACCTTGCACGTCAGCAATCTTAGTTTAGATGTTTCCATGCTCCTGAAGCTAACTATCTCGGTTCTCTCACTTGAAAACTGATCCTCATTCATAAGCAACTTCACCATCCTGTGTGCTGAGGGACTAATCCACTGCTTAAAACAGACTGCTCACCAAGGAGATGCCAATCCCACTAGACTTGCAGTTTGAAGCAGATCACTCTGCTTAGTGTGTTCAAAGAGCACATCCTAATAATTTAGGAGTGTAGGCAGTGGCTTGGGTACGTAGAAAGGTGAGTCCTTTAAATGTGCATCACAACAAGCCTTTGAAACTGCAGGCATTTTGAGTTCAGTTGTGACTCAAGTTCTGATTTGCCTTTTGCTTGAACCCAGGAAGCTTCAAAATACTCACCTTCAATCTCCTTATACTTCCTAACACATGTGGAACATCATTAAGAAACTCAAATGTTTTACAGAAATATGCTATTGGAAGCACTCCACTAAAAAGCAACAAAGATTAAAACCCACCAAAAAAGTCATTCTATAAAATTTTAAGAAATGGGATATCCTTTCTGTACCTGGCAAATACTAATGAGGAGACAACAGAGGCTGATAATATTAGAGGACGTAGACTGTATTTGAGGTTTCTGTAAAATTCTGAGGAAAAAGAAACAGTTGAACAGCACGTCCTGTGGTCCCTTGGCCTGCCGCTGCTTAAACAATATAAAGGTAGTCCTAGGGGATGCAGCACTTGGGGAGGCTCGTGGAAATCCCACACACACTTAAATTTGGGTCAAATGGATTTTTTCCCATTAAGCCTTTTCTTTCCTGTTTTCTCACAAGAATTCAGAGCTCTAAAGAAGCTCTCCTGAGCACTTGTCTCATTTTCAAAAATGAGTGCTTGACACTTCAGAAAAGTCCCATGATAGCTAAAAAGCTGAAATCAATACAAAAAACTAATAAAAAGCTTTAGCTGAACTCACAGAGCACACATCACCACCCATACCATCGTGATGTTGACTTTCTCCATCTTTAAGCTTTCATTTCTGAGGGCATCTGCGTTTTATAACAGTAGTTGGTTCATGCACACTGTTTTTGAATAGTCTTCATCTATTAAGAGGCATTGCAACCTCCATAATTCTGTTATTTTTTTCAAATGCAAACAGGCCAGAGGCTGTGAGGCAAGACTAAGAGTTTTGATCACTTATACTAAAGCCGTATTTGCTGAAGAAAAACAGACAAGTGTGCATGACTTACCTTGTCTTGAAAGTTTGGATTGGATCCAATACTACAAAGAAACTGAACCACATCCACATGCCCGTACCGAGCTGCAACATGAAGAGCTGTTTCCCCAGACTGCAATTACAGAAGAACATGTCAATGTAATTTCATATGTCACCCCTAGATATACACCGCCATGTACAGCCTGAATGCCTGTATGCTGCATGGCGTACTCCTCCGTTCCTGTAACCCAGTGGCACATCGGCAGTCAGCAGAGGTCTCCAGCTTACAAACTGTAGTTGTACGTGACAGATAAATCACCACCTGACGGATTATTTCTTCAAAGGCCTTCCCTTTTCAGAACTAATTTTTCCTACTTAATTTGTTCAAGGTCACAGCCACAACATGATTTCTGAGCAATATGAGGAGGCAGCTGCGTGTGCAATTGGGAGTGAAACAGACGTCCTATGTCTATTCATACTATTTCCATGCGCCGCTGCCTCTGCCCTGTAAATATAAATGTAAGAGGTTGGCCTAACACTTTGGTACATCCTGACGTATTTTGGTCATGACATGTAATTATTTGCAACCTTTTGTTGAAACTACATGAAAAAGAAATGGTATTTTTATTAAAAGAGAAACCTCCTTCCTAGTAGGCCTATCAGGAGTTGAATAATAATTTTGCTAATGTGCCTTGCCTTGCAGTAGTTTCCTCAACAAAGCAAACTGTGTTTCACAAGTACAATTGCCTCTGTATTGGAGCTTCAGCTAGTATAAAAACATCACTATAGTATAAGATTTAACAGCAACTAATTTCTAGGACAAATGTTGCTCAAGTAACACTGCTGGAGACAAGGTAAGTGCTCATCAGTTATAAATTGTTAAGCTTCATTATGTTCAACCTCATAACAGTCAAATTTACTTGTCAGACAAAAGTGATTTTCAATCAAGAGGAATGAAAAACAGAATCACGCTTTTATCCTGAGTTCCAATGAGAAATCCAGTCTTCAAGCAAAAATTAATTTAGGTTTGTACTTCCCCCACCTACCCACCATGTACTCACCACATTTAATATGCATGCTTGGTTAACATTTGTCAGGAAAATAATCAGTACATTCAGCTACTTTAAAGCTGTGTTATCACTGCCTATATGTCAAGCTTAGAAAACCACATTTAAAAAGCCATTCGCGTTCTTGGAATTATGGCACAGCTGAAAATCATTCCAATTGAAAGACCCATCTCTTTGCTAAGATAAAGTTGTAAAAAAAAAAAAAGGCTCTCTGCATGAAAACTAAAAAGAATTTTTTTCTTACCTTATCCTTAACATCCAAAGGACATTTATTATCATTGAGAAATTTCAGCGTTTCTACATGACCATGTCGAGAAGCCCAATAGATTGCATTAGATCCAGCCTGTCAAAAATATTTTATTACAGATGTTAGTGATCAATTTAGAATCCTAATTCTAGATTTTCAACTAAGGTACACATGCACTTAGATGTACACAGATATACTGAATGACCATTCAAGCTTATATGAACACATTTACTTTCTTAAAAAAAAAGAAAACAACCGCCTCAAATTGGTTCAACAACCCCACATACCAAGAAAATGAGGATGCTGAGGCACTGGAACAGGTTGCCCAGAGAAGCTGTGGAGGCCCCCTCCCTGGAAGTGTTCAAGGCCAGGCTGGATGGGGCTTTGGGCAACCTGGTCTAGTGGAGGGTGTCCCTGCCCATGGCAGGGGGATTGGAACTAGATGAGCTTTGAGGTGCCTTCAAACCCAAACCATTCTGTGATTCTATGAATGACAACAAAAAGCCCTGTACGCAAGGATGATTAACAGGATCACTAACTGTTTGCAAGGATAACCGTCTTCCTCCTCGTAAGGGAGTTTTTTGGAAACAGCAGTCATGGGATAAAAACCTTTCTGCTGCTTACTTTACCATCTATTAGATAGAAAAGCAGACAGTGCTTCAAGTTTGCTTTAAATGACCCCCAGATTGTTACAATACATTTTGAGAAAAGCTTGTTGCAAAGCATTCCCTCCAGGACATAAAAGTTTTAGTTGCAATATTTCCCACTGCTAAAATGTGCATTTATCATTCCATATTAAATAAAGTTCACCATTGTGTTTTAGGGCAATCACTAATTAGTTTGAACTAATTGAGGTAATTTTGTAAGCACGAGCTACATTTTAAGATTAGTATCATTCAAATTACTTCAGCTAATAAAGTGATCAAAATCAGAGGATATATGCTAGTAATAAATGAAATTATTAAAGATCTGCTTTAATCTTTTGTGCTATGGAAGACAGAAAACAGGCTTTACAGCCCAGATTTTTTCATTTCCGATACAACTTGGTCTGAAAAAAAAACTGTACTGAAAAACTTATGCTGAATGGTGACAAAGCAGAACCCTGACCTTATCTTGAACATCAATACGGGATCCACGCTTTAAAAGTAACTGAAGCATCTGAATGTTTCCACAGCCAGCAGCAATCAGTAGTGGAGGTGTTCCATGCTAACAATGAAATATAAGCAAGAACAATGTATTTAATTTTTGAAGGATGAAGAAAAGAGAGTGGAATAGAAGGGAGGCATTGAATGGCAACTCTGGATTTCCAGTTCCAAATTAAGTCTTCATGGAATACTGTATAGAAAATAATTTGTCCCTTTGTCCAAAGAAATTTATTGCACAGCAATTTTCCATGGTTTTGCGATGAATTCACATTTACTAAATGAAACACAATGCATTAAAGGCATGCTTTTCAAATTAGGACTATTAATGTTAACCTCTTATTAGCCCAATTTGGCAAGGATGGTCCCCTTTGCTATTTCTCTATATCTACATTTTAAGTCAGATTACCCAAGGTGTTTGTCACACCACCTCAAAGGCACAAACCACCAGCAACATATGGGAAAGTTAAATGGGACTGCACCATTAAGAAAAAAATACAGTGATTTCTTGAAAGGTTCAAGACCCCCTCACAGTAAAATAACAGAGGCTTTACATAGTGCTCCTCATGAATATTTGTCAAAGTACTTTAAAATGAAGGTCAGTATAACCATTCAAAAAAGTGAAAATTAGAGCTGAGATGATTTATCAAGGTTAAACAGCAGAGCCAGCAACAGAACTTTGGTCTCTTGGTCTCAGTTCCAAAACTCCTGTTAGGACAGCAGCAGTACACTGAAATACTGTAGCTGGCAAGTCATTTTGTTTCTGAAAATGAACGACACAATCTAACATTACGTTCACATAATCAGTTTCTGCACTATGGGACTTCTGTTTCTAACAGTGCTTTGCGAAGTCAGTTTTGGCAATCTGGTTAATCCTACATATTGTGCCATCTTAATCTGCCACAAGAAACAACTGCAAAGAAAAGCAAAGGTTGTTATCTGATATACCACAGCTCTTGACAATAGATTCAATTAATACTTTTTCAAAGGCCTAGGCAAAAAACCCACAACATTTTGGGTTCCATTTTCAGGTAGTTTGAGAAGACTGAACACAGAACACATTAAAATTTCTCCTAAAGAAAGGCAGAGTTATTTCCCATCCACTTGTCTTTACCTTTTCACTTCAGGTGTTACATTTCTATTTTACAACCATGTAGCTCTATTCAACAGGGTGATAGCTAGTCCCCCACGCACCTCAACACAGACCCACACTACCTTGTTGGGTTGATTGACATCGTAATTTGTCAGAGATCCCAGAAGGTGCTGTAATCCAGGAACATTGTCATCATTGATGGCATGAATAATAGCTTTCATCACAAAAGAATCTTCCTCATCCTTGCAATTGAATGAGAAAGAAGTTGTTAGCTTCAAGGAAAAAATCCCTATCTCAACAGCTGCCAAGATATCTAAAAAAATTAAAAAGTAAAATTTTCAAAGTCTTTTAAAGTGCTTTCTTCAGCTGCAAGTTATAAACCTTTGTGAAGCATATGGGTAACACGTACGCATATTATTTGAAAACCAACACCAACCCCCCCCCACCTTTTTCTAGTACAATATACTTCCCTCTTCTTCACACATGAACCTGTTATTCACTGAGATTCTAAACAGATTTCTTTTATTAGGTGTATTTTCTTTTTCCTCCTAGGTATTTCAACAGATGCAATACTTTCATGAAATGAAACTAATTCCATACATAAATGTGAACATTAAAAAAGAGGTACACAAATACAAACTGGAGTATCAAGTTTTGCACCATCCAGGAACATGACACAGGAGTTTGGACCAAGCTTTCATCTATTCAAATGGACCAGTTAAAAGTCTAGAACATAAGTGATGAGCCCAGATACCTCTGCAGGTGTAACTTTGGTTTTCTCCCATGCACTAAAAAGTCAAAGAACTGAATGAAATTCACTGAGCCCAATATTTGGATCACTGTTAACTCCTCTCTCCTGAGCTTTCAGATTTTTTACAACACTAACATCAGGCTACAATCCTTTCTGCTGCAACAGAGGTGTGAAATGCTTGATCCAGTGTTAAAAGGCGCACTGATAGCTGAGGTGGGGGAGGCAGGGAAAGGAGGGCAAGACCAAGACAATAAAGAGCATGGAAGTAGAAAGCTAAAGAGGAGGAAAAATGGAAAAAAGAGCGCAGAGTTGCACAGGAGGGACACAGGGAAAATAATATGGATAAAAAAGGCTTTGCAGAATTTTTGAAGTTTGGTCCTATTAATGCACAGAAAAGATGGTTACTCAGCTCTAAACATATTAACATATGTACTTTGCTGATCACAGGATATTTGTGAAGCATGTATTAAAACCTGCAGAGGAAGCTGAATAAGAATGCTTTTGGATTTACAAGCATTTGTAATTGAAAAGCATACAGCAATTCCTCCTGACTACTTAAATCTAGTAGACGTATATACTACCACAAACTGAACACTGGCCAACCTTAAATAACAACTTGTTATGATACTGCTGTCTAGCATTCATTCGATCTAAGAGAGTCTCAATGATTTTGAATATTTAGTTAAAAATGCAGTATTATTTTACTCTACACAGTGCCATGAAAAATACAGATGCAACTTTTTCACATTGTAATTGCTACAGTACAAAAAATCCTCCTTAATCAAATGTTAAAACCAAGATAGATGAATTTCTGGCACTAGCTATCAGCATCACCATGGTAATTAATAAATCAAATTTCAAAGTTTGTGTCATGCAGAAGATCAGACTATGGATAACAGACCTCTGTAGCCTTAAAATACATTTTTTTCTACATACGAGATTAATTAATTTTGCACATTTTCAATAGCCCAGTATTTCTGTTAGAATAATTTCAGAAAATGTTAAGTTTCAGATGCAGTAAAGCATTAAAAGAATGTAAGTACACACTTACCAGAGTATCATCACTCCTAGCAACACTCATGTTACTTCTGGACAAGAAAGATCTTGATAATCTTTGGCACAAGGATATTAAACGCACTGATTGCTTTTTAAAAATAAGAAGAAAAAAGCTATATGTAAAAAAAAAATCAAAATAGAAGACTTGTGATAAGATGCTATTGCAGAGATTTTAAAGGAATACTATCGTGTTAGCCAAGCAAACTGGAGTTTGACCTCAGCATCCCCCATCTTCTTTTTATATTGCATTTGAACTTTAAATTCCTTTTGACATTTATAATCCAAATAGGACATTCATATGCCCTAAGCAAAGCTACATATTATTTTTGGATTGCTACTACTTCACCAAGCTGTTCAAATACAAAGCAAAACAGATTCATATTACATCCTCTCGTTTACACTGAAAACATTTAAATGTACATATTTTAAAGTATGTACACACAGAAAACCTAAATTAGCTGATAGCATTCCTTTAAACACCATATTACAAAACAGTTTAAGATATTCTTAGACTCACCATTTCATTCTAGGGTAGCAAACTAGTACTTAAATTTTATAGATACCATAGATGTTCACCTCACACAGACACCAACCTATGGCAAAAAAATTGTACTGCCTAGCTGGCTGTTTTGTGCCTTTGGTCCACAGCTTAGCAAAATCATCCTATTTCTTGGCCTCTGTGACAATGAACAGAACTCCTTTACTAATAATAGCAACCTGTGTTGTCTCATGTTTCATCTCTCCTCATCAAGGGATGTTTGATTTACTGGGATTACTGTCACAAAAACACATACCTTAGGCACTTAGAAGTGCCTTTTCTCAGAAAACATTACCAGGACAGATGACGACAGCATACAGCTAGATGTATAAAATAAAAAAGCCACACGCAAGTATTTATATGCAGATCATTAACAAAGAAGGCTTCTCCCATACCACCATACTCAAGTACCTAATTTATTCCACATGGCAGAGGAATGGGTTTCTTCTTCCTTCTTCTCCACTCTCAAATGTACTGATGTTTCCCTGTAGCAGGTGACGCTACTGCATTTGTATGTCACCAACAATTTGAAGATTTATTGAACTACTTACTTTCCATTTTCGTCGTGCTGCGAACTTTTTGAATTTCTCCATATTCACTGCAGACGCCTTTCTACTAAGCGCTTGCTGCGTGTCTTTAGGCTATGCACAAAAGGAAAATAAAGCTATTGTAAAATACCCACAATTACAACCAGAACTTCCATAAAGCACCTTCCTGCATGTAAGACTCTGTCCTTCAGTGATGACTTGCACTTACATTATAATAATACTGTAATCATACTGTAGTAATAAAGTAATTGTAAGCACATCATTTTAACATCCACAGCATGCAGATGGAATTTCTTGAGAAAATGCCCTAAAGGAAATTCAAAACTAAGAATATTTCATGCAATACTAAAATTTGTTTTTTTCATTCTAAACAAAAAAAGCCAACATTCAGCTTTATCTTTCACCTCCCTCTGATGGAGGTATCAGATACCATCTCCTAGATAAATCTTGTCTTTTGGGAAGATTTCCTGGCTGATTTTAAATGCAGTCAAACTTTGTTCCAGTCTCAGTGTAATCAGCTGGATGCTGCTGGGACCCAAAAAAATAACATCCCACCTACCTGTGCGGCAAGCTTTAAGCCTGCACCCTTTGAACTTTCTCATGGGCTAATACTAAGCACCAGTTACCAATGGAGTAGACCAAATTTTGCATTATATGATCCCATACTTGAAGTCGTTTTTATAGAGAAATGCAGGTAAAGGTAGTGATGGGAAGGGGGGGAAAAAGGGATATGACCAGCGGGGTGGGGGAGAATGCCCGGAAAGTTAAAGGAACATAACAGGGTACAAAACATGTTTTGCTGCAGGACTGGAGATCTTGGTCCCAGAGACACAAACTTGGACAATGCTTGCTTCAGTGGTTTAAAAGATCATTTCAACATGTTCAACATGTTTCAACTGTTTAAGACTACCACAGCAAGAAGTCAGCAAAGCACAGTGAAATCTGTAGTTTGGCTTATTGGTGTAGAAACATCTGCCCTAGGATTCTGAACTGATGAACAAGAGCAGTTGTGGCACGGATAAATATTCTGCTAACTGGTTCTGTGGGAAGTGGAAATGGGGTCAAATACCCACTGTGCATCCCCAAGACCTGGGAAATCAATGGCACTGAAGAGTTTTACAACTCACCATCAGAACGTAATATGGAATTTAAAAAAGTGGCAGGTATTACTATACACATTAAGTAAGAAGAATGATAGGTCCAATTTTCTCCCTCTCAACCTAGGGGCACCACAACAGCTTGATCAAAACCAAACACTGTGGAACAGTGAAAGATGCAGCAGACTGCTGCCCCACATCAATTGCCTCCTTCAGTCTGAAGAGGAAGGACAGAAGAGAGATGACCCTCTTCTGCCCAATCTAAATAAGGAGACTAGAAGATGAAAAATGTGAAAGGAAATTTGACTGGATTCAGAGAATGTATTTTTGTCAATGCAATGCTCCCTAAAAATTAGCTTCTCTGCATGAGCACAATTTAAATCTCAATAGTAGGCTACTTCTCTATTGCTAACTTACATAGATGATATGATAATGAAGTCCGCATTCTGTGTGTATTAGCTTTCATGCAGATGGCTTTCCAAAACAGTAAGTTATATAAAAAAATTATGCCAATTTTCCTTGTTAAGGAACTTGAAAAGTGAAAGCTAAGTATGAAACAAAGAATGATTAAAAACAGGACAACAGAGAATGAATTACATGCTAACCTTGATCCAAGGATGCAGCAAACTATCTTGAATAGTCATTCTCTTCCTTTAATAGAATAAAAGATAGAACTGTTTTAGATAGTAAAAAATACATACTGCTATGTTTAGTAAACTAACACCTCAAAATGTGATGTCATTTGAAATACTAGAGACATAGGCTTCAACAGTACATACACAAGAGAAACAACTCACTTTGGATCTTTGACTAGAAGTCTTTGTATAAAATCTTTAGCTAGGGCACTGGTATTACTGAAGAACTCTTCTTCAAACTCATAATTCACAGCAGACACATTTGCTAATGTTTCCTGTTTGGTTTCCCCAAGAAATGGTGATGCACCACTTAGACTGCAAGAAACACAAAACACTCCTCTCGTTATATGTTGTAACATTGCTGTTTCAACCCTCTGAGATTGAGTAACAGCAGAAAGTGAACATTTTTATTTTCTGCTTTAAGACTGCAAACATACTTTGAGGAAGATGTGATCTAACAGGGCAAAAAAGCTTTGCTGTAACTTCAGAGAATATTGATTAAGATAAAGCCACTGTGGAAAATCAGCTACAGATTTAAAGACAGCTTCCCATGCTATCCCAATGCTGATTAATGGCCACTCTTTCAATAATTATACTATTGCTTTTATGAAGATTCAACTTGAATCATGATGTGCAATCAAAACGGTTTGACTTTTATAGAAACCACCAAAACCCCAGAGGATAGAATCAGAATTAACCAGCATTTGCAAGAAACACACATAGATTTTGGTACTTACAGAATATAAGTTATTACACCAATGCTCCTGGAGTTAAGGGAAAGAAAAAAAAAAAAAAAACGGATGAGGGAGAGGGGAGAGAAACAGATGGAGGGAGAGAGAGGAGAAAAAAAAAGGTTAGAACATAAGAATAATCATGAGAGATTTCTTTCAAGTAAGATCCAATAACTTACCACATATCTGCTTCAAGACCAAGAGGCTCATAATTTACTATTTCAGGAGCTAAAGGAGAAAGCAGGAAGATCAGTACCTAGTCAGAGAACAGAGCTATGTCACTCTGAGCCTATATATGTCAGAGACAATAAGCTAAGGTGCTGATAGATAAAAACACCTTAATGCGAGTCTAAGTTGGAACCGAATGCTACAAATTGCTTATTTAAATTTCAAAATGTCATGAATTACAAATTACATAATCTGTAACTCAGCCAAACCAAGCTAAGCCACATATACTGTTTCATAGACCAAACAAGAATAGTTTGAAGAAACAACAGTTTTCTCACCAACAAACTCTGGCGTTCCGAAGATATTTTTGAATTCATTTCCAAAGTCAATTTTGTGTGCTAAACCAAAGTCAATAATCTTGATTCGAGGCTTTGGTACATTCCTGTCCAACAACATTATGTTTTCAGGCTTTGATAAGGAAGAAGGGGGAGAGAAAGAGAGATTATACATAGGTATAAAAAGTCTGACACATACCAGCATTCTTCAGCACTGAATACTTCTCTTTACCTCCTTCAGCCTCTTGAACTGTGTCTTCAGCAGAAAATTCCTCTATTTTCCTATTATGATCTAACATATACTAAAAATTAACTACAGTAAATTAGGTTCTCATGTTGTTGACAGAGTGCTGTGATTTCCACAGGGCCAAGATTTTATGTCTTGTAGATACAACAGTTGCAGTTTTCATGTGGACAGACCCTAAGCGAAACACGCTGTCTTCAGTAAAGACCACAGCCCCTGCACTACGGCCATGTGAGCAGCACTGGGAGCTTGTGAGAAACAAAGTCCTATAAACTAGTATTTGGGCTTGGTCACTCCCTGAAAGAGGTTTCTTTCACACTGTGCAAGCAATCATGGAGGTGCATCTTGTTGCCTTTGGATTGCCAAGAGAAACTTTAGGAGTGGTCCAGCTCCCAGATTTTAAGGCTCAACATACTTAAAAAAAAAAAAGCATTAAGAGCAGGTTCTCATGTCTCTTCTAGCTATATTTTAAAATATGGCCTTTGGATCATTTTCAACACAGATTTGCAAAACTAGAACAAAGAAGATAAAACATCAAGACTATCATCAAAGGAGCTTGCTTCTGCACTCCATCACTTTCAACTAGCATACAGAACCAGCTACTTAGTTTCCATATCCTGTCATGTCCATAAGCTGGCAGTTCCTGGAGCTACATCCATCCTGCTCACATTGTTAAGGAATTCTGGAGTCATTAAGGACAGCTCTTCATCATCACCCTTCTTTTACTTCTCTTTCCCAATTATGGGGGGGCAGATAAGTGCAAATATAATTTTCTTCCTTACCTCCCTACATTTCTATTGCATACTTTCATTGTTCTGCATACTTTAATTCTTGCTGCATACATGGTATCTGGTGTAAGGATGCTTTGTTTTATTACAAGCACATTAGCAAAACTTTGTATTTCATACTGTAAGAAAAGTATTTCTTACTAGATTCACAACTCTTTTATCTTGCTGACTGTCTCTACAAAGACCAAACTTATTACTGTAGGTAATCAGAATGAGACTGGAAAAGATATGCTTACCCTGAAAACCATTCC